CACTTGGTAGCCCAGGCTGGCCTCGAACTCACAGAGATCCGCCTGGCTCTGCCTCCCAAGTGCTGGGATTAAAGGCGTGCGCCACCACTGCCTGGCTAATAAAAAATTTTTAATGTCTCACTAATTAGCTGTTGGCCTCATTGTCGTCAGTGTATGGTGACATTAACATTCTGCTCCTTCACAGGCTGTGATGAGGATTAGACATACAGATGCAGTTGTTAAGAGTTAAGTTCTCTTTCATGTGATAGTCACCTTTTTAAATACAGGTGCTCATCAGCTGACAGTGGGGTTCCATTGTAGTAAACATTACTGCAGATGCCTTCCTAATTACTACCCTTAACCTACCAAACTTCATAGCTTAATCCAGCTGGCCTACCTTAAGGTGCTCAGAATACTTCAATTAGCCTACAATTTTGCAAAAATTACCTAAAATAATTACCTATTTTATAAGAAAGTGTTGTACGTCTTGGATAATTTAATTAAATACCTGTATCCAAAAAGGGCTGGCCAAACTGTGCACTGTACAGTCTTGGTTACTATTTCTCCATCATAGCCTATTGGTGCTTTTAGATTGTTACACTGTGTATCAGTGGCTCAGGAAACAGTTGCAATGCAGAATTTGAAGTATGTTTTCTACTAAATATACTCCATGAATGCTTCTGTAACATGGTAAATTTGAAAAACCATAAATTGGAATTGACTCAGCTCTCTGAGCACCTGATTGAGTTAAAATACTTGATCTGTTTCCTATAACAGTTTCTTGTTTTCTTCATTAAGTTATATCATGTGGTTCATTTCAATCCTTTAGGATTCAAGTGAAAGCCTTAGTGTTTTGTTCCTTCCACTAGATGCTCCTAAAACTTGGCAGCACTGCGTGTCCTCTCATTTCCTTGTCTTTGTGTACATTACGTTTCAGCACACTTCACATGGAGACGGGAGGCAAGAAGTCACCTCCCGAACCGGGCGCTCTGGAGCTCGGTGTAGAAACTCAATAGCTTCCTGTGCAGATGAACAGCCTCACATCGGAAACTACAGACTGTTGAAGACAATCGGCAAGGGGAACTTTGCAAAAGTGAAATTGGCGAGACACATCCTCACAGGCAGAGAGGTAAACGCTTGTGCTTCCTTCTGCTGTGGTTTTACTCTGTAACTGTCTAAGGACCAGGATGCACATTAACAACTGGGGATTCTGCTTCCCTTCTGCTGTGGTTTTGCTCTAGAACTGTGTAAGGACCAGGATGCTTATTAACAACTGGGGATTCTGCTTCCCTTCCGCTGTAAATACACCAAGTGAGTGACCTAACCTGAAAAATGAGTAAAGTTCTGCTCTTTTCCAGTGGACAAATTAATAAATTGTCTTGAACTGCACGTATGTCCTGTATATAAGCCCATAAGCTCACGGTGCTTGCAGATCAGTAGTTATCTGGATTTACAGGTTTATCCCATGGGTTTCCTTCCTTTTCTGAGGATTTCTGGTAGCCCATGTTTGCCAGGTTGTGCCGGAAGGCACATGCTTTCCCAGCTTTTGTGATCTTGGCTCTCGTGCATCCCTTATCACAGTACATGGATCAAAACCACAGAGCTGACTTCCTCTTTGCCTCTTCTGTGGTTCAGACTTTCTTCTGCTTTGACAGAGTTCTTGTATTAGGTCTCAGCACCTGCTGTCTGTCTGACTGAAGTACTCTTTATCCTTCTGGGTAGGGATTACTTGTGGGAAGTATTTGTTGACACACTCCTTACCCCAGGCTTTAGACTCCTTAAAAAACCCTGATACCTCTCTTACACAGCAGGGTTTATCTTACACTGATTGACTGTCTCTTCTCCTCCACTCTAACAGTGAATGCTGTATGTAGGGAAGTGGTTGGTACTTGGTACAGGCATAATAAATACTGGTCAGATGTCTATAATTGTATGATTGAAAGGTGATTTTAAAAGAGAAGTTCTGGCTAGGAGAGGTGGTACACGCCTTTAGTTCTAGCACTTGGGAGGCAGAAGCAGAGGTAGGCAGATCTCTTGAGTTTGAGACCAGCCTGGTCTACAGAGTTCCAGGACAGCCAACAGTTGGTTACACAGAGAAACCCTGGCTCAAAAAAGCAAAAATAAATAAATAAGCAAAAGAAAGGGGGGGGAACCCCAAAACAGCAAGCCTTCAAAAGACAACCAGTTCAGGAATACAGTGACTGTTGGTCCTTTAGAGACAGTTATTCATTTGATCCATAACATTAAAATGCAGCCAAACAGCAGCAGAACACAGCCCTGCAGAGTGCCTGCATTCACACAGAAGGTGCTGTTCTCCTCAGGGCACATGGCAGACCTCTAGCACTCCACTGGCTTTGAGAATACAGCCATGGAAAAGCAGTTCACAAGAGCCATCTCCTTTTCCGTTTCTTCAGCTCTGGCTGGCTTCTAGGTAGAGCAGGCTGGCCTCAGTTTGCAGAGATCTACCCGCCTCTGCCTCCTGAGTGCCGAGATGAAAGTTGTGTGTCACCACACCCAGCATGAGCCCTATTTGACAAAGCAGGTATTGTGTGTGGGCCATGCCCTGATTGGGTTTCTAGGGCAGGATTCTTTGAGATGGGGATCCCTGATTTCAAGGCCAGCCTGGTCTACAGAATGACTTCCAGGACAGCCAGAACTACACAAAGAAACTGTCTCAAAACAAAACAAAACAAAAAAATGAAGCCAACAAAAAAGAGATGTGCTGCTGTATGCGTCACCCTCTCCTGATGGATATGCCAGCACGACATGACAGGTGTGCCATGGCATGGCTGCCCACAGCTCACTGGGGCTGGGGCTAAGGAGAACAAGGCCTGTGCCAGTTCTGCTGTCAGTAGGTAGTCAGTTGACCGCCACATGCCCTCTAGCTCTTCTAGGTTTTGTTTGTGCTGGACCTAGAAAAAGGTCGGGAAGCCATGTTCAATGCTAGCGGAATCTTAAGACAGTAACAGAAAATTCACCCTTCACAATCTGTTTTAGTGACTCTGTTTCTTGTGGATATGTGGAGACTGAAAACAAGCTGAACAGATGGCACTGTCCCTACTGTCCCTAAGTGGACCTTTCTTGAGATACAGGTTAGTTCTCACCAGTCCCAGATGTTTGCTCCAGTTCCCTGAGTTAGCAGAGGTAATGGGACAGACAGACAGACAGACAGACAGACAGTGTTTGCAGAGTCTGTCTGCTGTGGTTACTTTCAGTGTAGTCTTTCTTCAGAAGGGTTAACAAGTGTGACCAAAGGGCCTTCATTGAAGGTTTTCCTCAGTTTTCAAAACCTCAGTCAAAATGAGTTTTCTTTTTTCCCTTTTATTATAGGTATGACCAGAATCATATATGTAAACATTATAAAAATTTATTACGTAGAAAGCAAGAGGGGGTTTTGTTTTTGTTTTTGTCAATTTCTCTATTCCAAGAGAATTCCCACAGGTTTTATATAGACAGTAACTTTTGTCTTAACAAAAAAGAGACTCAGCCAGGCGATGGTGGTGCACGCCTTTAATCCCAGCACTTGGGAGGCAGAGCCAGGCGGATCTCTGTGGTCTGCAGAGCGAGATCCAGGACAGGCACCAAAACTACCCAGAGAAACCCTGTCTCAAAAAACAAACAAAAAAACTAATGGACATAATAGTGATCTCTATTATATGGCTATTTCAATAGTAATATTATTGTTGTTATAATTGAGTGTGTGTGAGCCTGAGCATGCACAGCACTGCCCATGCGCAGAGATAAAGAGGACAGCTCCGCCGGGTGGTGGTGGTGGTGGTGCGCGCCTTTAATCCCAGCACTCGGGAGGCAGAGCCAGGCAGATCTCTGTGAGTTCAAGGAAAGGCACAAAGCTACACAGAGAAATCCTGTCTCGAAAAACCAAAAAAAAAAAAAAAGAATGTAGGATAAAGTCATAGGAAAAAGCCCTGGGTCAGACAGAGTGCGTGAATATTTCACATTGTAATAGACAGTGCTAAGATAATTTTGAAAAATCATAATTATCCTACCAAAAAATGAATGTCTACTTTTGTCTGATTGTCTCAATCCATTTTTACTGATGTAACAGAATGTTAGATAGTGTACCTTATTTTTTAAAAAAATAATTTCTGATAGTTTGGGCGGCAGAGAAGTTCAAGATCGAGAGACTAGATTCCTTTTACAATGTCCTTCCATCCCACCTAGGATGACAGCTGAGTCTATTTCTCAGTTATGGCTCAGTCACCCACCCCCTTATAATAGTCTCCTGTTTAATGTTGTTACAATGGCAGTCAGATGTCAACATGGGCTTGGGGGCGGGGTAGAGTGACACACAAACCTTCAAGCCACACCTTAAACCCTCAGGTCTATAATCAGATATTATAAACCAAATATACTTTTTCACTATAATTATGTGAGTTTGTTATATTATCTTCTATTTTTGTCATTTTTTTTTTTTTTTGTGGAGGAAGGTTTGAGACGGGGTCTCTGTGTAGCCGTGGTTGTCCTGGAACTTGCTCTGTAGACCAGGCTGGCCCTGGAAGTCACAAAGATCCACTATCTTATTTTTTCCCCACAAATATCTTTACTGTGAGACCTAATAGAAGTTTGCTAGGTTTTAATCTTCTCTACATTGTTTTGGTTGAAGTGGATGAAGAAATAAAAGGGAGAAGTGTGGAGCTGGAGAGATGGCTCAACGATTAAGAAGAGCACTGGCTGCTCTTCCAGAGGTCCTGAGTTCAATTTCCAGCAAGCATATGGTGGCTCACAACCAACTGTAATGAGATATGTTGTCCTCTTCTGGCCTGCAGGCATACATGCAGGCAGAACACTGTATACATAATAAATAAAAAAAAGAAAAAAAGAAAAGATTAAAAAAACCTAACCTAAGACAGAGCACCTGTGTGGCCTGGGCAGGCGTCTCCATGACTGGTAAGGTGACCTGCTGACGTCCCACACAACCTAAGTCAGAAGCTCATTTTTTAATAAAAGGGGGACCTGCAGGGCCCTGGCCCCCGTTTTGGGTAACTGTTGCCTTGCTTGTGGACCTTGACCTTGATATCCTCCCAATGCTAATTCCCTGTCAGGTTCCACCCTTCTGAATGCTTAAGGGAAGTTCCTTGTCTGTGTATCCTGAATAATGGGCATTAACAGCTTACATGCAAGATTGTAAAGCATCAGTAGCAAACTTCTGCCCTCCAGGGTCCTCCCATTGTGCTGTAAGCCTGTATTTAAGACCCCCTACCCCCTTCAAGAAATGACATTCGACATTTAAAATTTAAAATATATATATGTAAAATTGAATGAATACTGCAAATGTAATCTATGAATACCACAAATGTGATTAATGTCATGAGTGTAAGTAATGAATATCATGAGTGTAATTTAAAAAATAAATAAAAAAAAATTAAAAAAAGGGGAGGATGAGTGCTGGGGGGCGGTGGTGGTGCATACCTTTAATCCCAGTACTTGGGAGGCATGGCAGGTGGATGTCTGAGGCAGCCTGGTATACAGAGTGAATTCCAGGACAGCCAAGGCTATGTAGAGAAACCCTGTCTCAAAAAACCAAAAAAAAAAAAAAAAAAAAAAAGGAACACTTTACACTTTCAGATATTATGGATATTGTCTTTAATGCTATTCTAGAACTCAGCATAGAGTTGTTTCTTAGGATGGAAGGAGTGATTAATTGAAATTTAATTAAAAGCAACTACACAAAGACTGACAAAGTTAATACCCAGAATAATTTGCTTCATTTGAGTATAAGTAGTAGCAGATTTGGAAGTGAGCAACAGAAGATTAAAGGAAAGGCCTTGTATAATCTATAATAATATATGTAACTAAAAGCTGAAACTGATACTATGCTTTTAGTACATTCTGAAAGGACAGGGCAAAACCATGTTCTTTTTAAACATTTTTTTCTCAAGATTTATTTATTTTCTTGTATGTGTATGAGTGTTTTTGCCTGCATGTATGTATGTGCACCACATGTTTGCCTGCTGCCTTCAGATGTCAGAATACAGGGCCAGATCCCCTGGAACTGGAATTATAGATGGTCATAAGCCACCATGTGGGTGCTGGGAATTGAACCCAGGTCCTCTGCAAGAGCAACAAGTGTTTTTAACTGGCTGAACCATCTCTCCATGCTGTAAACTC